TATATCAGCAAAAACTGGGGCTGAATCTAATCAGCCCTAACTATAAGCTTTATACAAAAAGGAAGGNGATGCTCAGCAAAAATCCTGGAGAGCTAGTTTTCCCTTGCTCAAAGCAGCGATAGAACAAGAGCAGTCAGGGTAATCATCAATCAATTAATCAATCAATGTTTATTTATATAGCCCAATATCACAAATGTTACATTTGTCTCAGTGGACTTCACAGTTTGTACAGAATATCAGTATGACAATACGACACCCTCTGTCCTTAGACCCTCACATCGTACAAGGAAAAACTTCCAGAGAAAACCCACAGTTTAAAGGGAAAAATGGGAGAAACCTCAGGGAGAGCAACAGAGGAGGGATCCCTCTCCCAGGACGGACAGACGTGCAATAGATGCCGTGTGTAAATTGAAAAGATAATACATTTGCAACATAGGTAGTCCAAATGTTTGGAAATGCATGTGTGTATAATAGGAAGATGAATCCACGAGGATATCCATCCAGGACTTATGATCCAGGACCACAGCCACGACTCAAGATCCAGGACTCGCAATCCATGACACAGGACCGCAGGATCATCCATGACTCCGGATCCCGGCGTATATAGACACCAAAAAGAAAGAAATTTTAACAGGCAGTTTGGGGCTGAGCTATCAAGGGAGATAGGCCAGACTGCGGAAATTACTGTGGCATTTCTCTCTTGTCCACCATAGGGAAAGCTCTAGCTCGGGTGTTAGCCAACAGACTCACCCCACTGTCAGAAAGCATCCTTCCTGAGTCTCAGAGTGGATTTCGCCCAAACAGAGGCACTACAGACATGATTTTCACAACTCGCCAACTGCAAGAAAAATGCCGGTAACAAAATCAACCATTATACATGGCCTTCATAGACCTCAACAAATCCTTCGACTCAGTGAGCCGTCAGGCCCTCTGGCTGGTACTGGCAAAGATTGGCTGCCCAGAAAAATACGTCCGGGTACTGAGACTGCTGCATGACAATATGTCAGCCACGGTACTCAGTGGCAGTGGAGAAGACACGGAACCCTTCCGGGTCGACACAGGAGTCAAACAGGGATGTGTCATCGCTCCAACACTATTCTTCATCTTTGTTGCTGCTATCCTACATCTCACAAGCAAGCATCTGCCCCAGGGAGTCAACATCATGTACAGAACTGACGGCCAACTCCTCAACATCAACCGTTTCAGGGCTAAAGGTCAAACCACCACCATATCGATCATGGAGCTGCAGTATACGGACGACAACGCCCTTGTAGCCCTCTCGGAAGAGGACCAACAGGGTATCCTATCAGCGTTTGCGAAAGTATACAAACAGCTTGGTCTAGCCATCAACATAAAAAAGACCCAA